TCCTGCCGCTTTCAACGATCAACTGAGGGGGCGAGGCTCTCCCATGTGTCCTTTGACCTTTAAGGGCCGCAGTATCCTTTGAAGAAGGATCGATTAGGACAGAAGGAAAAGCGGCGATAAGAAAAGAAGAGAAAATAAAAGCGAAGGAGTTTTTCTTCGCCTCTCGAGAGGTAATGTAAATATAAAATTTATGTAAATATAAAATAAATTTAACATTTATTCGCACTGAATAGTTTTTAAAATAGTTTAAAATTAAAGGGCCAAAAGGAAGGTGGTAAGTTGCGAAGAGTTTTCTTTTTGCCAAATTGCACTTTTCTCGGACTTTTTTTTCGCATTTTTCCTTTCAGTCGGGGGAAATTACACAGTCGAGCATTAATCGTTTGCTGTTTTTCACTTAATTGCAATTTCTTTTTTTCTCTGCGCTTATCTCTCGAACGAATTTCGCTTAAATTTGGCATTCCTTCAAGTTCTTTCAAGTTTCGCAGAGGAATTTTTATGCAATGCGGTTGCAGACACGTGGTCCGACCAAGAGGCGACACGTGGTCCGACCCCAGAGGCGACACGTGACGTGCGAAATTTTCGGCATAAAACGGCGAAAATCGAGCGTTGCCAAAATTCCCCACCCCGAATGGCGAAATCGCTAGAATTGCAAACAGGAGCAGCCAAACTATGAAGCACCGAGAAATTTCCAATTTGGAATTGAAAGGGATTGGAAGCGGAAGACCTTTCATCGCCCGCGAGAGCAGGACCAACACGTCAGAAAGCAATCGATGCCAGTCAGAATGCGATCGATGCCAGTCAGAATGCGATCGGTGCCCAGAAAGGGATGAAGAGTCTCCTGACACTGCCCGCTTTTTTTGCGTCGGGGGGCCCGAGCAACGTTTTCTGCACCGCGTCGATATCGCCGGTCCTGCAGAGGGGGTCGGTCTCTCGCAAGGTCGTTTCCGGTTGTTGCCTGGGGGGGGGGGGGGGTTGCCTGGCCGTGGGTCGACTTGAAATTCGAAGATTAGCTATCGACGAGTGAAACGTCTTAAAGAAGTGCGTGAGAAGTGGAAAGGAAATCGTCCCCGGTTCGGTGACCGGGAAGCAGGAGGTGACGGTTCGATTCCCGGCCTTTCCCTGGTCCTCTTTCGTCCTCTCGTGCCATCCAGCTCCAAAAGGCCCCTGACATCACAGAACGAACACATGGCGTAGGTTTCACCCGCTGAGCCAAAAGAACTGGAAACGGCCATAGGAGCAGAAGGCTT